GATTTCAAGGCTTTGAGGTAAGTGTTTGGTTTAACCTAGCTTGAGGGATAGGAGTTGAGTCTTGTTGCTAATTGCTATGTGATCGAGTACGATGTATAGGCATGGTGACGAGTATCTATGGTGTCTAGCATGACAGTGAGTCTCATAATGTGATTATCATGATTTGGTTGTGAACACCGTGTTTATTGGAGGATTTCTATATGTTGTGAATAACATGTGAACGGTAATAGGATCATTTGATTCCCGGAGCATTGGCTCGAATTGTGATACGAATATTGGAAGTATACGAAATGACTTGATTCTTTGGAGCGTTGGCTCAAATAGTAAAGTGAATTATAAGATAAGGAAAGTAAGAAAGAGAAAGCGTTGTTGATTATTCCCTTGTCGGGACGTTTGGTTGAACTTGTTGGATTCTTTCCCTTGCCGGGATGGTTGTCAAACATTTGCTTATTTTATGCCCCTTAATTGTGACTGTTGTTTGGGAAGTCAGACTGTTAAATGATATTGAGGATCGGGTTGCGCGCCGCAACAATGATGTTGAGGATCGGGTTGCGCGCCGCAACAATAATATATGAGGATCGGGTTGCGCGCCGCAACAATGATATATGNCTTGTTACACCTTGCTAAGATTTTTTTACTAGTATTTTTTTAAATTAGAAAAATTGGAACTTGATCTGTCATCACAGGAATGTCTCCAGTAAATGGCATACAAAAATTTACTCCAGATGTGCAATTACAGCCATTGAGCAATTTGAAACAAAATGAAAAAGGAAGTCCAATGAGCATCATTAGATGGTGTTCAGATTGAATAACAACCAAAGGTGCAATTTGGGTCTATTCGCAATACTCAAGAAAATTGAGTATCGTGCTGTGTCATGAACCATTTGTAATGTAAGCATACTCAACAACTTCTATAGCTAAGTTACTGTATGCGATGATGACTATAAATTGAATAAAGAAATTTTGTCTAGTATTATTAGAGAGAAAGTGCTTTCAAATAATGGTAAAAATCAACTATGACCTGAAACAAGCAGACTGTTGTAGGCGAGAAGAAAAACGAGGCCTCTCACCCCACAGAGGATAGCTTTAGGCATGTTCTCATTTAGGAATTCTGAGATCAAGGTCAAGCAAAATGCACCACAACCGCATATAAGGAAAGTTATAACCCTTTTTCCTTAGAACAGCCAACAGTACTAGCTTTACTTAAGAAGAGTTCCTTCAAAGTCGATGTAAAGAAGGAACAAATTCAACAAGGATGGAAGATATTTCTCCTCCTAATTGTGATAAAGCCATGTCAAAGGGCTTGGATTCTAGCAGAGACCAGATTAATCATTTTCCAAGAGAAAAGTGTTTACTCAGGGATGCCACAACGGAAAGAGGAGGCGGCAATATAAAGAAAGAATGCTTCAAGTAAAGAATATGAAAGTCATAAAAAGTTCTCTCAGTTATTTACTGAAGAATGGTGTTGTTTTTGTACAGAGAGATAGCTATCAAAAATACGAAAAGAATAAATCAAATAACTTGATTACAGCAATTACGAACAAAGAGAATCAATAGAAATGGTAACAATATCAGCCAGCTGGAGCTAGTCTGGAGCTAGCACAGATGTTTCCTTATTACACCCCCTCAAGATGGTGAGTCGGGCAGAAACACCAATCTTGGATCGAATCTTCTTAAAGGTAGTACGAGACAAAGATTTGGTAGGAGCATAAGCTAGTTGATCAGCAGAGGAGATATGGGAAACACAAAGCACGTCAGCTTGAATCTTGGAGCAAACGAAGAGATAATCTACTTTGATGTGCTTCATACGAGAACGGAAGACTGGCTTAGCACGGAGATCAGTAGCTCCTTGATCGTAATATCTGGTTGTTGATGCAACGAAATAGAGAGCTCTTTACAAAGATTAATAACCTAGCAAAGCTCGGCAGTAGTAAATGCAACAGAACGATACTCAGCTTCTGTAGACGACCGAGCAATGGATCGTTGTTTCTTAGAACTTAATAGTAGCTATATGACGTAATTATATATATATGGCAAAAGGCACATCTGCGCCATCAGTGACGCGACATCAGACCCCTCCACCCATCTCCATCACCCTTTGAAATAGGTGCGTTTGGAAGCCGCACACTACTAAAGCAGAAATTTTTAGTTTTTGTTTCGACCAAATTTTCTTATTTGAAGAATGTTTAGAAGATGTTTTTGTTGATTTATTGTTGTTCATTTCACATATTTAGGAGCTTCTAAAATATTTTTTTTGTCGTTAGTGATATTTCCTCCAAAATCAAATTCAAAGTCGCTTCTCCCTAAACAACCTAAAAACTGTTAGCTAAAGCAAATGCAAATCGGAATTATTTTTTAATTAAATGAATCTAATGAAAACTAAACCAACACCAATTTGTTATCTAATTCAAACGCTGTTAAGTATTTAGATTTTAGTTGACTGCTTTCTTTTGCTGTTTCAGATTTTAGTGAATTGGGATTACATGATGGTTGTTCTGTTTTTAACTACAGGAGATTCATAGTTGTTTTGTTTTTTTACTACAGGAAATTCATGATTTTGATTTGTTTCTTGTATATGATATGTTCTCTCCTAACGTGGGTCTTGGAAACAAAACAACCATGAATCTCCTGTAATTAAAAAGCCCTGATTTTATGCGCTTTTTGCTGTTGTATTCATGAATACATAGCGCGAATACATGTGAATACATACGCGTATAGCTAGACTACCCTGATTTTTAGGCGCTTTTTGCTGCTGCTGTATTTATGAATACAACAGCGGGAATACACTATCGTAACAACTTAATAGTAGCTATATGACGTAATTATATATATGGTACGTAAAGAAGTTAATAGCCACTAATCAATAGGACTTTATGAAAATTCCTCTTATATTAAATATTCTGGTATAAAAAATGGACCACGGCGCTAATTTTCGCGCGAACAAGTAAACTAGTTTAAATAATAAAATTTCGATTTTTGTGATAACATTTCATGGCAAAACCCCATTTTCCCCTCCTCCTCTCTTTAATCGCTTTCACTCCATCTGTGGCTGACGGAGGCAAAAGGCACATCTGTGCCATCAGCGACATGACAGCAGACCCCTCCGCCCATCTCCCTCACCCTTTAAAATAGGTGCGTTTGGAAGCCGCACACTACTAAAGCATAAATTTTCAGTTTTTTTTCGACCAAATTTTCTTATTTGAAGAATGTTTAGAAGATGTTTTTGTTGATTTATTGTTGTTCATTTCACAAATTTAGGAGCTTCTAAAATGTTTTTTTTTGTCGTTACTGATATTTCCTCCAAAAACAAATTAAAAGTCGCTTCTCCCTAAACAACCTAAAAACTGTTACCTAAAGCAAATGCAAATCGGAATTATTTTTTTAATTAAATGAATCTAATGAAAACTAAACCAATACCAATTTGTTATCTAATTCAAACGCTGTTAAGTATTTAGTATTCGGAGAAGGGCCAAATATACCCTTTTACTATGAGAAAATGTTCAAATATACCCTTCGTTATACTTTCGGTCCAAATATACCCTTGCCGTAATAGTATTGGTTCAAATATACCCCTCTTTCGTTAAATTTGTCCAAGGTGGACATCCAATCCTACGTGGCACTAACATTTGATGAGGTGGATGCCATGTGGCATGCGAACTCAGCACCCCTAACCCATTTTACCCCTCCCCTATATTTGTTTTTCCACCACAATTTTCTTCGATGGGAAGGAAAGTTTAGTGAAGGAAAAAATAAATAGAAGGGAGGGGTAAAATGGGTTAGGGGCGCTGAGGTGACAAGCCACATGGCATCCACCTCATCAAATGTTAGCGCCACGTAGGATTGGATGTCCACCTTGGACAAATTTAACGGAAGAAGGATATATTTGAATTAATAGTATTACGGCAGGGGTATATTTGGACTGAAAGTATAATAAGGGATATATTTAAACCTTTTCTCATAGTACAAGGGTTTATTTGGCACTTTTCCGTTTAGTATTTAGATTTTAGTCGACTGCTTTCTTTTGCTGTTTCAGATTTTAGTGAATTGGGATTACATGATGGTTGTTTTGTTTTTAACTACAGGAGATTCATGGTTGTTTTGTTTTTTTACTACAGGAAATTAATGATTTTGTTTTGTGTCTTGTATATATGTTCTCTCCTAACGTGGGTCTTGGAACTAATCAATAGAAAATCTGCTTTAGAAATTTGAAATGGTGACTGCTGCCTGCTGCCACCTGCTGGGATAGCTTTCTACTTTAGATATCAATAATTTGTGCTAGTGAATTTAAAAGTTAAAGGTTATTGATACAGTGAATTTGCAAAAGAATAGGATTGCAGGGGCGGCTCAAGCACATGTATGACCTAAAACCAAAGTTTAATGTGAGGCCTAAACTTTTAAAAGACTGTTGAACACTTGAACTAATGAAATATCAGAGTAAAAAAGTGAGTAATGAATCTTGGATCGGAGAAAGAAGGAGAATAAGAATATCAAAGTGAAAGACAGAAAAAATGTAGGAGTTTCTGAAATATAAAAAGATTAGGGAAAAGAAAAATTAATTCAGACAAATTAAGGAAGAAAAACAAATATTTTACACGTTATCTTATCTAATAATAGAGTAAAAAGTTAAGTTGTCAAATCAACTTAAATTCAAATGTCGAGAAAACAATTCATCTATCATTTTTAGTAAGTCAAATGGTCACTTTATTTATACATCTAAAAAGTTTAATTTTCTTTATAATAAATGTGACGACCCAAAGGGTCATCACCTATTTTCCCATCCACTCCGTGCTTCCGAGGTCTTAAAAACCTCATTGTTACTTGCCTCGATTTGCGTGCGCAGTCCGGGCGTGTAGCCGGAAGGCTTAAATATGAATTATGTGTGAAAAATGATGAATTTTGATATTAATATGATTAAAGTTGACTTTGGTCAACATTCTGGGTAAACAGACCCGGACCCGAGATTGGACGGTCCCGGAAGGTCCTTAGAAAAATATGGGACTCAGGCATGTGCCCGGAGTCGAATTCCGATGTCTAGAGCCCGAGGAAAGAATTTTTCTGTGAAATTGTTTCTCTGAAATTATTAAGAAAAAAGGAAATGAAAATTGATTAAAAGACTGTGGTATCGGGCTCGTATTATGGTTCCGACGCCCGGTACAAGTCTTAAATATGTGTTAAACGCTTTCGTAACATTTGGTTGAAATCGGACGTCATTTGACGTGTTTCGGACCCAAATATCTAAAGTTTGAAGTTTATGAAGTTATAATGAAAAATGATGAATTTGGGGCTTGATTCAATCATTTTGATGTTATTTTGGCGATTTGATCGCACGGATAAGTCCGTAGGATATTTTTGAGGTTGTGTACATGTTTGGTTTGGAGCCCCGAGGGCTCGGGTGAGTTTTGGATAGGCTACGAGGTGAAATTTTGGACTTAAGGAATTGCAGGTCTGCAGGTTTCGCATTTCCCAAACATTTTTCGGAATTACCAGGACTGCTCGCATTTCCCAAACTTTCTTCGCAATTCCCAGGTTCGCATTTCCTAAACATTTTTCGCAATTCCCAAGCATGTTCGCATTTTCCAAACTTTCTTCGCAATTCCCATGTTCGCAATTCCCAAACCATTTTCGCAATTCCCAAGCCTGTTCGCATTTCCCAAACTTTCTTCGCAATTCCCATGTTCGCAATTTCCAAACCATTTTCGCAATTTCCAAGCCTGTTCGCATTTCCCAAACTTTCTTCGCAATTCCCATGTTCGCAATTCCCAAACCATTTTCGCAATTCCCAAGCCTGCTGGGTTCGCAATTGCGAACCCATGTTCGCATTTCCCACATCTGAGACCTGCAATTTTTCATACTTAGACGAATTTTAACCCTCTTTTCTTTATTCTTTCAAAACCCAAACTCCATAGGCAATTTTCCAAGAAACCTATCTTCTCCAAATCATTTATAAGTCAATTTTTACTTAACTTCTTCAATCTTTAACATCATTAGACATGTTTTCATCTTAAAATCAAGGATTTCCATGTGTGAAAATGGGGATTTTGGGTAGAACTTAGGTTTTCTCAAAATTGGGGATTTGGACCTCCATTTGAGGTCCGATTTCAAAACAAAACATAGATATGAACTCGTGGGGGAATGGGTAACTGGGTTTTGGTTCGAACCTCTGGTTTTGACCACGTGGGCCCGGGGGTGTTTTTGGAATTTTTGGGAAAAAACTTGGGAAAAATCATTTTTATGCATTCAAATTGATTCATGTAGTGTTTATTAAAGTAATTGAACAATTTGTGATTAGATTCGATCGAATTGGAGGTGGAACCGCGAGGTAAAGCGATAGTTGAGGATTAAATGGATTTCAAGGCTTTAAGGTAAGTGTTTGGTTTAACCCTAGCTTGAGGGAATAGGAGTTGAGTCTTGTTGCTAATTGCTATGTGATCGAGTACGATGTATAGGCATGGTGACGAGTATCTATACATTGGTGTCTAGCATGACCGTGAGTTCTTATAATGTGATTATCATGGCTTGGTTGTGAACTCCGTGTTTATTGGAGGATTTCTATTTGTTGTGAATAACATGTGAACAGTGACATGATCATTTGATCCTAGGAGCATTGGCTCGAATTGTGATACGAATATTGAAAGTATATAAAATGACTTGAATCTGTGGAGCGTTGGCTCAAGATGGTAGAGTGGATTATAAGATAAGAAAAGTAAGAAAGAGAAAGCGTTGTTGATTATTCCCTTGCCGTGACGTTTGGTTGAACTTGTTGGTTTCTTTTCCTTGCCGGGATTTTTGTCAAATATTTGCTTATTTTTTTTATTCCTCTTAATCGTGACTGTTGTTTGGGGAGTCAGACTGTTAAATGATGTGGATCGGGTTGCGCGCCGCAACAAAGATATTGAGGATCGGGTGCATGCCGCAACAATAATATGTGAGGATCGAGTTGCGCGCTGCAACGATGATACATGATAAATGATGTGGGTCGGGTTGCACGCCGCAACAGTGGTATTTATGGATCGGGTTGCATGCCGCAACAATGGTAAATTGTGGACCGGGTTGCACGCCGCAACAGTTATTGATACCATGTGTTTATATTGAGTATTGTTTTCCTTGTTCATTGTGAATCTAAGCTGCTTTAGTTTGTTACTCGGAATTACTGTTACTATTGTTATCTCCCCACAGCATGTTTCCCTCTTCCATATTGCTAGTTGTTTGGTATTTTGTTTTCGTTGTATATTTATAACTGCACAGGTTTATGTGGTGTCCGGTCTAGCCTCGTCACTACTTCGCTGGGGTTAGCCTAGACACTTACCAGCACATGGGGTCGGTTGTGCTGATGCTACGCTTCTGTGCATTTTTTCACAGGTCCAGGTTCTGAGGAGCAGCAGCAGCATTAGTACGGGAGCAGGCTTTCATTATCACGAGACCGAGGTAGCCTTGCAGGCGTCCGCAGGCCCGACGTCTCTTCTTTATGTTCTCTTTTAGACTGTTGCCTCCTTCTCTCGAGACAGACAACTTCTATGTTTCTTTCAGACCTTTGTATTTAGTATATTCTTAGTGGTTCGTGAGTGATGTGACAGCAAATCTTGGGTAGAGGCTATTATTAACTGTTCCGCGTTTTGATTCAGATTTATAAATCAGACTTCCGCTATTATTCTTAGTAAATTTCATGTTCTATGTTGATGCTATAAATTGTTAAAATAATTGTTTAGTGATGAAAAGGTAAATAAGTTGGCTTGCCTAGCTACCACGAGTAGGCGCCATCACCATCCCGATGGTGGGAAATCTGGGTCGTGACAAGTTGGTATCAGAGCACTAGGTTACATAGGTCTCACAACTCACGGACAAACTTAGCAGAGTCTGAGGGGTCGGTACGGAGAGGTCTGTACTCGCTCCCCAGGGGCTACTGAGTTAGGAAAAATCTCTCATTTGTTCTTTCTTGTCGTGCGATTTGGTTTCTCAATGCTGATTGAATTTCTACTCTGTTCTTTCGCAGATGGCGAGAACACGCGCTTCCTCATCCACCGATCAGTAGTCCGAGCCCCAGGCAGCTCCTGCTAGGGGCAGGGGACGTGGCCATGCTAGGGGCCGAGGTAGGGGCAGAGCCCAGCCACCAGTAGCAACACCAGTGGCGGAGCATCAGGTTGACCTTGGCGAGGAGGTTCCGGCCCCAGCCCAGACTGTTCCGGCGGGCCCGGCTCAGGTCCCAGAGGGGTTTATTGCTACCTAGTTCTTCAGGACGCCTTGGTCCGGTTGGTTGGCCTCATGGAGAGTGTCACCCGAGCAGGATTGCTTCCTATAGCACCAGCCACTTCCCAGGCTGGAAGAGGAGCCCAGACTCCTGCTACACGTACTCCGGAGCAGGTAGCTCCCCAGACTCAGATTCCACCGGGTCAGCCAGCTGCGGCAGTTCAGCCGGGGGTAGTTGCACAGGCCGGTGATGGAGCGGCTATGTCCGCAGATGCTTTGTGGAGGCTGGACAGGTTCACCAAGCTCTTCACTGCTACATTCAGCGGAGCTTCTTCTGAGGACCCCCAGGATTTCTTATATAGCTGCCACGAGGTTCTTCGGAACATGGGCATTGTGGAGTCCAATGGAGTTGATTTTGCGGCTTTTCGTCTATCTGGATCCGCCAAGACTTGGTGGAGGGATTACTGTTTAGCCAGACCAGCAGGGTCGCGGCCTTTGACTTGGGATCAGTTTTCAGAGTTGTTTCTAGAAAAGTTTCTTCCCGTTACTCAGAGGGATGCTTACCGGAGACAGTTTGAGCGTCTCCAGCAGGGGTCTATGACGGTCACTCAGTATGAGACTAGGTTTATCGATCTAGCTCGCCATGCCCTCGTCATACTCCCCACTGAGAGGGAGAGGGTGAGGAGATTTATTGATGGTTTGATCCAACCTATTCGTCTTCAGATGGCCAGAGAGGCGGGTAGTGACATTACTTTTCAGGAGGCGACCATTGTGGCCCGGAGGATCGAGATGGTTCTGCCATAGGGGGGTGGTCATAGGGCAGACAAGAGACCCCGTCACTCAGGTCGATTCAGTGGTGCCTCATCTGGAGGGAGGGATTCTTATGATAGGGGTCAGCCTTCCAGGCCCTTTCAGTCAGCCCTCCAGGTATCGCAGGGTGCCCCAGGTGATCGTGGTTTTCGTGGGCATTATTCCGATCAGCACTCACTTAGTGCACCGCCAGCTCCCATCAGTGCACAGCCTCTTCAGAGTTTTCGTGGAGGTCATTCGGGTCGTCAAGGCCAGTCTCATCGTACGGAGGGATGTTATGAGTGTGGTGAATATGGTCACATCAAGAGAGCTTGCCCGAGATTGAGGGGTACACAGTCGCAGCAGCAGGGTCCTCGCCCCATGATTCAGGCACCAGGTGACCCACAACCTGCCCAGCCAGCCAGAGGCGGGGGTAGGGATCATAGAGTTGAGGTCGAGACCGTAGAGGTGGAGGTCGGACCGCCAGAGGTAGGGGTCAGCCGGTAGCCGATCGTCCCAGAGACATGGTTTAGGGAGGTGGGGCTGAGCCCCGGTTTTATGCTTTGCCAGCCAGGCCAGAGGCCGAGTCGTCAGATGCCGTTATTACAGGTACTATTCTGGTTTGTGATAGAGATGCGTCAGTGCTATTTGACCCTGGGTCGACATATTCGTATGTGTCGTCTTATTTTGCACCCTACCTGGCTATGTCTAGTTATGCTTTGGACATTCCTGTTTATGTATCTACACCGGTGGGTGACTCCATAGTAGTCGACCGAGTGCATCATTCCTGTGTGGTTGTGTTTGAGGGTCTTGAGAGCCGTGTTGATTATTGCTTTTAGATATGGTGGATTTCGACGTCATATTGGGGATGGACTGGTTATCCCCGTATCATGCTATCTTAGATTGTCACGCCAAGACCGTGACCTTGGCTTTGCCAGAATTGCCCCGACTAGAGTGGAGAGGGACCCCAGGTCATACCACCCGCAGTGTTATTTCATATGTTGAGGCTCGACGCATGGTCGAGAAGGGGTGTTTAGCTTATCTGGCGTATGTTCGCGACTCCAGCGCAGGGTTCCTTCTATTGACTCTGTTCCTGTTGTTCGAGAGTTCCCTGAGGTTTTCCCTTCAGACCTGCCGGGTATGCCGCCCGACAGGGATATCGATTTCTGTATTGATCTGGCTCCGGGCACGCAGCCCATTTCTATTCCGCCGTATCGCATGGCCCCGCCAGAGTTAAAGGACCAGTTGCAGGATTTACTAGAGAAGGGTTTTATCAGGCCTAGTGTTTCTAGTATGAATTGAGATATTTTATTTGTGCAAACAGGCTGTTAGGAATGAGAAGGATCTGGAAAGCATAAATGTGCCACTTAAATACCGGAGCATGAACTCTTTCTGGAAGTATTACTCAGGAGAGAAAGTAGCACCATTTCCAACTATATTTATTGGAGGAAACCATGAAGCATCCAATTACCTTTGGGAATTGTAAGTTGGTCTCCATATATAACAGCTGCAGTCAATGTATGCTACTTTAGGATACGTCAGTTTTAGCATGCTACTTTCCTCAACTTGCTTAACTCATCCAGTGTTCCACCTTTTCTCTAGCCGAGGGTCTACCGGAAACAGTCTCTCTGCCCTTCCAGGGTAGGGATAAGGCCGCGTACATCCTACCCTCCCCAGACGCCACTTGTGGAAATACACTGGGTGGTTATTGTTGTTGTTGCTTAACTCATCCAGTGGTTGTTTGTGCTTCCAGGTACTATGGAGGATGGGCAGCACCTCAGATATACTTCCTCGGATTTGCTGGAGTAATCAAATTTGGCAACATTCGTATTGGTGGCCTTTCCGGAATTTATAAATCACACGATTACAATCGGGGTATGTCAGTCTTAGCAAATATTACCTGGATGTAGATATTGGCATTTTTAGTGTTGATGTGTTAGTGAAAGCTACCTTGTAGGTTTTGCCAAAATGCAAGTTGTATTAGTTGACTAATTGACTGTTCCTAGCTCCTCTAGATTTGCTACTGAATATAGGCTTTAAAAACTTGAAGTTGGATATACACGATTGTTATCTGTGACGTGCCTGATATTGGGCAGGGCACTATGAGAAGCTGCCTTATAATCAACGGGATATTCGATCTATATATCATGTTCGTGAGTATGATGTTCACAAGCTCTTGCAAGTTGAGGAACCAATTGATATCTTTCTTTCACATGATTGGCCTGTTGGCATCACTGACTGTGGGAACTTGAAAGCTCTTCTTCGTCAGAAGCCTTTCTTTGAGCAAGAGGTAATCATTAGAGGGTTCACTTTTTCCATGGCTGATATACCTTGTTAAGATAAAATCTTATATGCAGATCTGCTTATCCTAATGGAAAATACCTTAGTCCTTTTATATGCTTTTTAGTTAACTTTATCAGATACATAGACGTCATCTCTCTCTCTCTCTCTCTCTCTCTCTCACTCACTCTCTCTCACACACACACACACACTCTTGCATGAACGCGCACACAAGGTAAAAAACCAGAGCAAAATATAAATTTTTGCTGTTTTCCATTAATGAATTGTTTGAGTAGTGAGATATTATCCATTAACTTATTCTCTAATTGACAGTTCTCCAAGAGGTTCTCTTGTCTGTGATGAACACTGTATTTGTCGTTCCACACACACTCTTCATGGTTGACGGGGAAATTCACCTTTAATGCCCTTGTTGCATGAATTTATCCTCAATATGCCCTAGATGTCCAATAATGTATAGATATCACGATATACAGTTTTTTCTTTTTTATTTGGTTGGTTAATAGACAAGCTAAATCAAAAGATTCATGTAATAAATATTGTTGAATGTTATAAATAACACTAGAATCAATCCTGTTCCCACCAAAAAGAAAGAAAAAAAACAAAGAAACAATATTTAGAAGCGTCACTAGCTACATGTTTCATTCAAAATACTGCATGCCATGCCTTTTAATCTTTCAGACGTTTAATTGTGGAACCAAGTTTTTAGAAATTTACTTCATGAAAATTGTTGGTTCCGTTGGAACCAATCCAATGCGCATGTGAAAGATTAATCTGGATGTGGCTTTTCAAGATTGTTATACACCTATAAACGATGCGCTTGATAATAAGGACTCATCTGTGCTAGCTCCAGACTAGCTCCAGGTGGCTGATATTGTTACCATTTCTATTGATTCTCTTTGATTGTAATTGCTGTAATCAAGTTATTTGATTTATTCTTTTTCCTATTTTTGATAGCTCTTTCTCTGTATAAAAGCAACATCATTATTCAGTAGATAAATGAGAAAACATTTTATGACTTTCATATTCTTTATGGTATCGGGACAGAAAAACCAACAACAACAACAAACCTAGTAAAATCCCATAAGTGAGGTCTGAGGAGGGCTTTGGCATCACATTACCTCCCTTCCATTCAATAACCACCTGGTACATTGTTACAAAAGTAGTCTAGTACATATTCTGAACCACTAAGTGTGGTTGTACTACTTGGCATACAAAAAGATGGGATAGTAGTAGTGGTTGGAACGCATCTACGCGTTGGTATTGCCCGTTGATCATTCCGTAATTGGTGTTCCAAAAAGGCTGGTGGATGCTCGATAATAGTGAGTTGCCCCCCCTACACACCCAATAGTGGTGCCATATTTTGCAAGGCCATCAACGATGCTATTTTGCTCCTTGTACACATGTTGTATTGACGGATTACCGAGTTGGTTCAGCAAGTACCTGCATTCATGCAAGATAGATGAGTAATGGTAGTTATGATATCGTAATATAGAAATTACCTCTGTCGCATCCATGTTGATTTTCAGTGGTGTTAAATAATAACGTAGTGCAATTCGTAATCCTTCCATTAATACACACAACTCCATAGAGATAGGAGTGCCCGAGGTTCTGTTACCCGCGAATCCTAGGAATAGGATCCAATCACCTGTGTAGTTTCGAAAGACTCCTCCAAAACCTTTTAGTGCCGTAGTCCTCGTAGATGCACCATCAGTGACCAACATGCTTTCAACGGCAGACAGGTTAACTTTAATTAACTCCACACTAAACACACTCCCAAACCATATCATGCAATTTATTAAACTACCAACACAAGTCACAAAACTCTTGGAACGTTACCAACGTAATTTCCTATGGGGTACCACGACTCAAAGACGCAAATTACACCTCATTAAATGAGACACACTTCAGACACCAAAAGCATGTGGGGGTTTGGGTATCCAAAATCTCACCTCCAAGAATAATGCACACCTAGCTGGCCTAGCATGGAGGTGTGACATTCTCGTCAATCTCCCCAGTTTCTTGGATTACTGATCCAAGGTACTTGACACTTCCTCTCTTGGGCATAACTTGTGTATCAAACCTCACGCCCGTGTCCGTTTCCTGGGACACGTAGCTGAATTTACACTCCAAGTATTCTGTCTTGGTCCTACTCAACTTGAAACCTTTAGACTTTAGGGTCTATCTTCAAACCTCCGGTCTCTCATTAGCACCGCCTTGCGTTTCGTCAATTAGAACTATGTCATCTGCAAATAACATACGCCATGACACCTCCCTTTGAATGTGGCGCGTCGCTAAGGCAAAAAAAAGGGGGCTAAGAGCTAATCCCCGATGAAACCCCATCACAACTGAGAAGTGTTCCGAGTCTCCTCCCACTATTCTTACTTGGGTCTTAGCTCCAAATACATGTCCTTAATCACCTTAGTGTAAGCTACAAGCACACCTCTAGCTTCCAAATATCTCTATAGAACCTTCCTTGGGACTTTGTCGTATACTTTCTCTAGGTCAATGAACACTATATGCAAGTCCTTCCTCTCGCTATATTGCTCCACTAATCTACTTATAAGGTGAATGGCTTCCGTAGTCAAACGACCCGACATGAATCCAAACTGGTTCTCGAAAATAGACACATTCTGACATTCCTCACCCTCACTTCTACCACCCTTTCCCAAACTTTCATAGTATGACTTAACAGCTTGATACCCCTATAGTTGCTGCAATTTTGGATGTCACCCTTGTTCTTGTACAATAGAATCATCGTACTCTACCTCTAGTCTTTAGGCATCGTCGTCATTCTAAAAATGACATTAAACAACTCAGTGAGCCACTCCAAGCCTGACCTTACCTGCGCTCTTGTAAACTTCCACCTGAGCAGGAAAACCTTACGACATAATTTTTTTTTCAACTAACTAGTTCATCAACACACATTGAAATCTTCCTCTCAAGAGGATCCAATAATGCCTAAAGGAACATTCAATCAGATAAATCACCTTCCTCTGTTTCGATAATTTCTGCAACTTAAGTTCTTCTGACCTTCTTTCCATTAATATTCGTTCTCTTACCTCAATCAAGTTGATGTCCGCCAACTATTTTTCCTGTCATACCTAATGGGAGTCTGCTCTTGTTGGCTATGATTTTGGAAAATACATCGACACACCTCCTGCTTCTCAGCCAGATTCGATTTTTTGGAAGCGTCAAGATAGTCTTCTTCGCACTGCTTTGATTTTCACTCTTTTTGCTGAGATTGTGCCTTTTGTCATCATTGCTAAGAATTTATATGCAACTCCAAATCGTGCACATCTAATGAGTTTCCGAGATAGTCTCACAAATCACAAGTTCTATATCTTAATCTCACGCTAATGATCTTTGAAGCTATTTCAGGCCTACACATGAACAAGCTGAAAGGCACCATCTATCCAGTTAACACAGTCCCAAATCTGGATGAGCTTGCAGAGGTTATGTGCTGTAAAGTGGGATCTTTCCCTACATCATATCTGGGGCTCCCATTGGGAGCTAGATACAAGTCTCAAGGCATCTGGAATGGAGTGATTGAAAAATTTGAAAGGAAACTGGCTTCCTGGAAAATGCAATACTTATCCTTTGGAGGCAGACTTACACTCATCAATAGTGTGCTAGATAGCATACCAACATATTTCATGTCCTTATTCCAATCCCAGCTAAGGTACAAAGAATACTTGATCAATTAAGAAGAGATTTTTTATGGGAAGGCAACAACGACACTCACAAGTTCCATCTAGTTAAATGGCCAAGAGTTATTCTTCCTAAGAACCATGGAGGGCTAGGGATAAAGGATCTTGCCTTGCATAATAAGAGTTTATTGATGGAATGGCATTGGAGGTACAACATGGAAAGTTCAGAGCTATGGAAAACAGTTATTCAAGCAAAGTATGGGGTGGCAAACAACTGGTGCACTAGGTACGGGAGAGCTCCACATGGTTCAGGCCCCTAGAAACACATTTCAAAGCTTTGGGGAGAATTCAAGCTTAAGTCATCACTCAAGTTAGGGAACGAGGCTCATATATCTTTCTGGAAAGATAAATGGCTAGGAATAGAGACCCTGAAAGATGAATTTCCAGCTTTATTTTTACTTGCTAGTAATAAAGATGCAGCTATCTCACATGTTTGGCAAAATAGTGCTTGGGCTCCACATTTCAGAAGGGACATCCAAGATTGGGAGTTGGATGATCTGTTGGGTTTGCTCAATAAATTATCAGGTGCTAATGTCAATTACCAGGTGCAGGATAGGTTGGAATGGGGTGAATCAAAAGAGAGAACAGAGGATATGACAATCTATGCTCCAACAAGGAATTGATCGACAAATGGCCTTGGAAGCTTATATGGAAAACCAAACTACCTTCAAAAGTAGCTGGCTTTATGTGGACAACATTGTATGAAGCTTGTCTTACTCAAGACAATCTTAGCAGAAGGAGTATACCGACCGTTAATAGATGTTATATGTGCCAAATGGAATCTGAGAGTGTGAGGCATCATTTTTTGCATTGTTCAGTAGCAGCTGATATTTGGAGTATGTTTTTATCAGTTTTTTGACTTGCCTGGGTTATGCCAAACAGTATCAAGGAAGCTTATGAGAGTTGGTGTTCTTGGAGAGTTGGGAAATCATTCAAAAAGACTTGGTCAATGGTACCTGGTGCTATTTTTTGGAGTATTTGGAATGAAAGGAACCGTAGATGTTTTGATGGGATTTCAACTTCCAACCACACTCTTAAAACTACTTGTTTAATTAACTTATTTAGTTGGTTCAATCAGGCCCCTGTAACTAGTATTGAACTATTTCTGGATTTTGTCTGCTCCTTAGTTGTCCTGTAAGTTTTTGTAAGTTTTTGTATATGAGCAGACAATACCTTTATGTTGTAATTTTTGCTATGCATCTTCTTGATGGGCCATTTAATGAAATTCCCTTACTTCATCAAAGATAGTCTCACAAAAGTATCAAAGGACAACATGACGATTACTGCCTACATCCAACATGTTCGACAAATAGCAGATCAATTTGCAAGCTTTAGATCTCTTGTTTCACCTGATGATCTTGTGCTTCGTATTCTCAATGGCCTTCCCCTAGATTTTGATTTCATTGCTACAACTATTCAAGTCAGATATACTGCAATTTCTATTGAGGAACTTTATCAAAAGTTGCTTGGATTTGAGGGTCGGATGAACCGACACATACTACAATTGCAACACCAATCACAACTAACTTTACTGCAAAACAAGGCAACCCAAATCTGTCTCGCAGCCAAAGACTGAACCATCAGGGAGGCAACTCGAACAATCAGTTTCGGTCACAACAATTTAATCCCAACATATCCTCGTTTACTAACAACAATCGAGATAATAAAGGTGTGGTATGCCAACTGTGTGATAAGCCAGGACACACTGTGAAGACTTGTTGTCGCCTATTGGGTGCTTTTCCGTGGATGGGAAACTCTAGTTCGCCAACTCAAGTCTTTTCTCAACAACTACAAGCAAATGTTGCTACTATTGTACAACAAATACACCCTGTTGGTCGACTCTGGAGCTTTGAATCATGTGACAACTAATCCGTCCGATCTCTCCTTGCACTCAGATTATGATGGTATTCATTGTTGATGATGGTAATACTCTTCTGATTATTCATACAAGATCTTTATCTCTGCTTTCTTCACAAAAGCCAATATCTCTTGAAAATGTACTTTGTGTTCCATCCATGAAACATAATCTTATATCTGTTTATCGCCTCCGTTGTGATAAGTTTTTATCTGTTGAGTTCTCATCATTCAACTTTGTTGTGAAGAATTTTTGCATGGGGGAGCCGCTAGTGGACGGACGACCTAAGAGTGGTGTTTGTGAACGGCGAACTGATATTCCTGCTTTGTTTGCATCATCTCCTCCTCAAGTTAATGTTGCCTTGCTTCTAAAGTCTCTACGATCTGCTGGCATCATCGCCTTGGTCATCCATCCAATAGAACAATCGGGATAATAAATGTGTCGTATGCCAACTGTGTGATAAGCCAGGACAAGCTTTTCCACAAGTCAATTATCTCTCTTTACCGTGACAATGGTGGGGAGTTTATCTATCTTTGATCCTTCTTTGAAAGTCATGGATTCTCTCATTTTCTAACCCCTCACACTCCCGAATATAATACTCATGCTGAGCAGCGTTATCGCTACATTGTAGAGATGGTCTAACTATGCTTCATCTAGCCAATCTTCCAATTACCTTTTGGTCATATGCCTTTATTGCTGGTGTCTATCTCATAAATCGGAGGAGGAGGAGGAGAATAGCAGCGAAATGCAGGCGAAATTTTTTCCCCCTTTAGTTCTTCTTTTTCTCATTCTCCTCCTCTTCTTCTTCATTTTCTTTCACTGTTTCAGTGATAAATTGCAGCGAAATGCTGCCCATTTTTTGGCATACTTGCTGCCATTTTTTGGCATACTTACTGCCATTTTTTTCATATCATTTATTCTTAGTTGTCTATGCTTTTTATTGTCATTCTCCTCTTCTTCTTCATTTGTGTATGCAGTATTTATTTTAATATTTTTTTTAAATTCCGCTTCACTTAAAAAAAGCGAGCGCTTCGCTTCTCGCTTTAAGCGAAAAGGGGCTTGTCGCTTTTCCTTGCTTCTCGCTCTTCACAACATTGGTGCAAGTCAACACTCACTCACTGTACCTCTACTAATCAACCTCCTTCAGTTCCATCCCATCACATACATCCTATGCAAACACGCTCAAAGAATAACATCTTTAAACCAATTTCTCGCCTTACACTTTTAGCTATCACAAAACCCAAATCCCAAACCTTGAGTAATGCACTCTGTTGTTTCTCTTGCACATCACCAACAACTTTCATCATACTTGACTTTAGAACCACACAGTGCTCGGGAGGCTCTTAAGCATCCTCAATGTGTTGCAGCGATGATTGCTCAACTAAAAGCTCTTATGTCTCAAGGAACATGAACTCTTGTTTCTCGTGGTTCTTCAAAAAATTTGGTTGATTGTAAATGGGTGTTTTGTATCAAATACAACTTTGAATGGCTATATCAGCAAGTATAAAGGCCGTCTTATTGCAAAAAGCTTTAATCAACGACCCGATTCGATTGTGGTGCCACCTTTTCTCCTGTCGCTAAACATACCCAACAATGCGCATTCTTCTTTCTCTTGCCATGTCTCGCAATTGGTGTCTTCGGCATGTTGATTTTAATAATGCATTTTTCAGTGGCTTCCTTGAAGAAGTATATATGACTCAGCCGCTAGGTTTTGTTTCACGATCCTGTCATAATCATGTGTGCCACCTGAATAAAGCCATTTATAGCCTTAAACAGGTGCCCCGGGCTTGGTATTCTGCTGTTAAGAGTTATCTTATATCTCATTGTTTTAGTATGACTCAATCTAACCATGCTCTTTTTATTTCCCATGATGATACTGGCTCTATTTATCTTCTTATTAATGTTGATGATTTAATCATCATGAGTTCCAATACCAACACAGGTTTATCTCAGAGCTTGGTAATAGGTTCTTTCTAAAAGACTTGAGGGAGCTAGATTATTTTCTGGGCATTGAAGCACGTCGTACTCTAGATGGTCTCTTTCTCTGGCAGCATAAGTATATCATTGATATACTCGATGGTGCAGAAATGTCCGAGGCTAAAGTTGTGTCCACTCCTCTTCTGNAGTTATTTGATTTATTCTTTTCGTATTTTTGATAGCTATCTCTCTGTACAAAAACAACACCATTCTTCAGTAAATAACTGAGCGAACTTTTTATGACTTTCATATTCTTTACTTGAAGCATTCTTTCTTTATTGCCGCCTCCTCTTTCCGTTGTGGCATCCCTGAGTAAACAATTTTCTCTTGGAAAATGATTAATCTGGTCTCTACTAGAATCCAAGCCCTTTGACATGGCTTAATCACAATTAGGAGGAGAAATATCTTCCATCCTTGTTGAATTTGTTCCTTCTTTACATCGACTTTGAAGGAACTCTTCTTAAGTAAAGCTAGTATTGTTGGTTGTTCTAAGGAAAAAGGGTTATAACTTTGCTTATATGTGGTTGTGGTGCATTTTGCTTGACCTTGAGCTCAGAATTCCTAAATGAGAACATGCCTAAAGCTATCCTCTGTGGGGTGAGAGGCCTTATTTTTCTTCTCGCCTACAGCAGTCTGCTTGTTTCAGGTCATAGTTGATTTTTACCAATATTTGAAAGCACTTTCTCTCTAATAATACTAGACAAAATTTCTTTATTCAATTTATAGTCATCATCGCATGCAGTAACTTAGCTGTAGAAGTTGTTGAGTATGCTTACAGTACAAATGGTTCATGACACAGCACGATACTCAATTTTCTTGAGTATTGCGAATAGACCCAAATTGCACCTTTGGTTGTTATTCAATCTGAACACCATCTAATGATGCTCATTGGACTTCCTTTTTCATTTTGTTTCAAATTGCTCAATGGCTGTAATTGCACATCTGGAGTAAATTTTGGTATGCCATTTACTGGAGACATTCCTGTGATGACAGATCAAGTTCCAATTTTTCTAATTTAAAAAAATAGAAAAATCTTGCAGGTGTACAAGATATGTAGTAGGTTGGTGCATTTTGTCTTCTGCAAATATTTCAGCTCCCTACTAAAGTCTTGTGTAGTGTGCTTTTCTGCCTCCAGGTTAAGTTAGTGGTTTTTCCATGGAATTCCTTTCTAGGGGGTTCAACACGTCCTAGACCACTACTACTGCCCCTTTTTTCGGTTCCCGGGATATAGTAAACCCCACCTCCCAAACCTCCTCCTTGTAAGTCAAGAATGGCTGCTACCAAGAACCCACTTTGCTCCCTTGGTGACTCGAACTGCCAACCTCTTGGTTGGTTGGAGTGGAGTGTTTTATCGCTGGAGCAACCTGATTGTCTCAACTCTCACTTATTTTCTTCCCTTTCACATTTAATTGGACGACTCTTTGGTCTAATATTTTGTTATCCTTGGACTTCCTGTTAGTTTAATTCTCTACGTCAAGAACATATCTAGATATCCGTTATGTTGATAGAAATTGTGTTGAAGCCCTTATGGCACATATATGTGTGTACATTTCTTTGACTTCTTTGTGCTTGTGTCATATTTGTCTTCTGAAGTCCAGAATTCTTTTTTACTTTATTTTTCCGATCCCTTAATGCTCTGATAATTTAAGATATGTAATCTTTCAGATTCAGGAAGGAACTCTGGGAAGCAGACCTGCTGCAGAATTACTGGCAAAGTTGAGGCCTTCTTACTGGTTTTCTGCACATCTGCACTGCAAATTTGCTGCTTTAGTTCAGCATGAGAAGGATGGTCCTTCCACAAAGTTTCTTGCCCTCGACAAGTGCCTCCCTGGTAGAAAGTTTTTGCAGGTATTTCTCTGCACCCTGTTGTTTACGGACCTTTTCTACAGTTCGCACATAAAGTTAATGTTTTGATTTGGGTGGCTGAGCTTCATAGGTTATTGAAATTGAGTCCGGACCAGGACCTCATGAACTTCAATTTGATGAAGAATGGTTGGCAATCACAAGAAAGTATAATGCTGTCTTGCCCTTGACAACCAGGAGTGCGAACTATAGGTATATACATTTCTTAGTTCTGTTTTTTATTGTATTTCAGGAAATCAGCTTGTACACAACTCCCTCCTTTTTTATTGTAGTGATGTACATCTTGACACGGAACAATGCCACGAGTTTGTAAGAAATAAGCTGCAGACAAGAGGATCCAAACCGTTTGAATTTGTTCAGACTGCACCATGCTACAATCCTTCTCACCCTGTTGCTAATGGTGTCTTCCACGGTGATGATCTGTATACCAGGACATTATCTATGTGCTTACTTTCTTTTGTGTCATAAGATGCTTGGTGCAGTTGATTGAGTGTCTGTCATCGTTATCTAGAATAAAAAATGAGTTTGTTTGGAACTATTCAACAAGTGAGATTGAAATCTGTCCAGTAGAAGCTCACTGGTATCTTCATTTTGAAGTCTCTGAATACAGTTAACCGTAATACTATTTCAAATTGAATGCCATGCTTTCCATTTTTACCAGGCCAAACTAATGTCTATCTTTCCTAAAGCATAATAATCTTCCACTTATTGTATACGGTTAAAAGCTGTGAATCTCACTGTACCACTTCCAAACATCCAAATAAACCCAAAAAGTAATTTATGACCTCACTTGTCATTGAGCAATCTGTACTCCCGATGCATTCTAAATCATTGGTTTTCTCTTAAAACGGTAAACTTGAACAACGATATTTGAAATGAAGTATTCGTTCAAATAGTGGTCGGACGAGAACATTAAAAAGGTGTTGCTCTACTTGTTGGTCTATCACTATTTACAGTATCGAGTTGTTTTATTCTTAAGAAGGCAGCATACTTGAAGTTGTCAGAGAGCAAAGACGAGGAGAAGAGGATGAACATGGAGTGGTACAAGACGGCTAAGAGGGAAGCGAAATTAGCGGTCACGTCGGCAAAGACATCAGCGTTTGGACGCTTGTATAAAGAACTTGAGGGCAAAGGTGGGGACATGAAGCTGTATAAGCTAGCCAAGGTGAGAGAGAGGAAGGCCCACGACCTAGACCAAGTGAAGTGTATCAAAGACGAGGAAGGAAAAGTATTGGTAGAAGAGGTGCTTATTAGACGAAGATAGAAACGTACTTTCATAGACTTCTGAACAAGGAGGGGGATTGGAACACTGTGCTGGGTGATCTGGAGCACTCCAAGAGTTACCTAGATTTTGGGTATTATAGGCGGATAAAGGCCGAGGAGTGGGCTATGCTTAGGATGAATATGGGAAGAGCGCCGCCAGGTCCGACATGATTCTGGTGGAGTTTTGGAAGAGCGTGGGCAGGTTCAGAGTGGCTCACATGCCTATTTAATGTTATGTTTAGGTCATCCAACATGCCTGAAGAATAGAGGTGGAGTACGATGATCCCGATGTATAAGAACAAGGGAGATATCCAAAATTGCAACAATTATAGGAGTATCAAGCTGCTAAGCCACAGTGTGAAATTTTGGGAGAGGGTAGTGGAGATGAGGGTAAGGAGGAGAGTGTCTATATCCGAGAACTAGTTCGGATTCATGCCGGGGCGGTCAACCACAAAAGCCATTCATCTTATAAGGATGTTTGTGGAACATTATAGGGAGAGGAAGAGAGACTTGCATATAGTGTTCATTGATCAGGAGACAACATATGATAAAGTTCCAAGAGAAGTTTTATAGAGGTGTTTGGAGGGGAGAGGTGCCCCTATAGCGTACATTAGAGCGATTAAGGATATGTATAATAGAGCTTAGACCCGGGTTAGGGCAATAGGAGGAGACTCGGGATACTTCCCGGTCATGATGGGGTTACACTAGGGATCAACACTTAGCCCGTTCTTATTCGTCGTGGTGATGGATGTATTGATGCGACACATTCAGGGGAGGTGCCACGGTGCATGTTATTTACTGATGATATAGTACTGATTGGCGAGACGCTAGGTGGAGTTAGCGCCAAGCTGGAGGTTTGGACACAACCCTGGAATCTAAAAGGTTCAAGTTGAGCAAGACTAAGACAGAGTACATGGAGTGCAAGTTCAACGGCTTAACTTATGAGGATGTAGTGGAGGTGAGGCTTGATACTTAAGTCATCCCCAAGCGGAGTAGTTTCAAGTATCTTGAGTCAGCAATCCAAGGTAATGGGGAGATAGATGAAGATGTCACACACCATATTGGAGCAGGATGGATGAAATGGAGGCTTGCTTCCGGTGTCTTGTGTGATAAGAAGTTGCCACCAAAACTTAGAGGTAAGTTATACAGAGTGGTGGTTAGACCGACTATGTTGTATTGAGTGTTGACCGGTTACGAACTTCCATGTCCAGAAGTTGATAGTAGCGGAATTTAGAATGTTGAGGTGGATGTGGGAGCATACTAGGAGAGACATGATCAGGAATGAAGACACTCGGGACAAGGTGAGCCCTCGTGGAGGATAAGTTGCGGGAAATGAGGTTGAGATGGTACGAGCATGTGAGGAGGAGATGCCCCAGTAAGGAGGTATGAGAGGTTACACATGGTGGGTCTAAGGAGGGGTAGAGGAAGACCTAAGAAGTATTAGGGAGAAGTGATTAGGCATGATATGATGCATCTTCAGCTTACTGAGGACATGATCCTTAATAGAAGGTTGTGGAGGTCGAAAATTAGGATAGAAGGTTAGTAGGTAGTACAGCGTATTATCCTTTAGGTAGTCTCGCGGATTATCCTTAAATACCGGTAGCTTTAGTATTACTCGAGTTGTGGCGTATCCTTGGATTTATATTATTACTTGATATTTCTTTTATGTTGGTTTGTTTAATATCTCACTATTGCTTATGTTTCCTTTTCATGACTTGTTCATTTTCATTATTGCATTTCTTTACTGATACTATGCTTACCTGAACCGAGGGTCTTTCGGAAACAGCCTCTCTACCTGCATAAGGTAGGGTAAGGTCTGCGTACATACTACCCTCCCCAGACCCTACTTGTAGGAATATAGTGGGTATAATGTGGTTGTTGTTGTTGTTGAGTTGTTTTATTTTTAAAGTCACTTTACCCCCTTTTATATCGCAGATCAACATCTATCTTGACTACTAATTATCTGACTTCCTTTAACCATAAAATGATTTAGTCTGTGATTTTCTCTGGTAAATACAAAGGAGCGCTTCTTTATGTACACCTGTTGCAGCTTTCGTAATACCAGTGTTTTAGTCGTGTTTTATATGTCCAAGCTTTGCTGCAAACGGTGGTGTTAACTTCCTGTGTTGTAATCATTTCCGTTTCGCAACTGTCCCAGAGAGAAACCAATGGATTTTCCCATTTTTAATGTGTCTTTGGCATGAACAGTATGAGTCTCGAACTCTCAGATACTAGATTAACTTCTGGAGTTTATAGTTCTTTTTCTTTACCTAGTAGTATGTTGTAAGATAGTTTATAGCAGTGGATGTTGATTTTCTCACTTTTCTGTTTCCTTCACAGGTTGCTATAAAAACCCTCAGACAGAAGCTCTATTACAGTTTCTAGAACTCGACTATCTTCTTAATAAAATGCCAGAATCAAAGGGAGCCTGATGCAGGTACAGCCTCATTTGTTTCAGGATGTAAATGTTCTTCCTCTATTTGACCGGAAAGATTATTAGTCTTGTGATTTATGATCCATTATCTGTATTCAACTGATAATGGTTGAAGTTTTACCACACTTTGTTTATTATGACATGACATGGGAAGAGAAGAAACCACAAGTTATAACACTTGAATTAGTGGTCATTTACATCCCCCACCCCCCCGGGGGGAAACGATTCAGTGACATATAATATAGAGCTTATACACTTTTCCTCCTGAAAACTGTAGATTTTTCCTTATATGACTCACATTTTCTTCTGTAAAGTCATTTTATACTCTCAACACCGGTACTCTGCAATTTAACCAAGTATTGCTGACGTGTTTTTAACATTTGAGTCTCCTATTTCTAGTTTGATGTATATATTTTATTCTAGAAGAGCTGCATGCTTTTTTTAAATATAAGTAAACTTTAATATTTTGGGTTTGATCTTTACCTAGATTTGCTGCATTTTCAGGTTCCTTTGATTACCATATACCCATAGACGAGAGTGAAGATACACCCATAGATGATGTGGATGTGGATGTGGATGATATCAAAAAAAGTGGACACGGAAGATGCTTGAGAAGGATTCATCTAAAGCTCAGATCACCACCTAATCTAAAGCTTAAAGGTGGATTGCCGCTATAAAGGGTAAACGAAAACTGCAGTTTTAATGGGCAGCTTCACTTCACAAAATTGTTTTGACATTTGAAACGGTGCCCCTTCTCATTATTCTTGGCCATTTAGACGGTGGTACCTAGTACTTTTGCTCTCACCTCACTAAGCAAAACCTTCGAGAAAAAGGTTAGGTGGTGATTAAGTCTTCGAGAAAATAACAAGCAAAAATTTAATAAAGTTGAAATGATGGCCTCCACGATCAATGTGGAGCAATAGAATCAGCTTGAACAAGCTTGTCAGCTGCTAGTCGGTATCTGCATGGGCATGCGGCTAAGGAGTGAATTATATGTAAATATAATTCAGTAAGATTCTTGACCTGTCACTTTGAATACCCTGAAACAAGTGTTAAACAATACAAAAACACACAACAAACATGATATAATAAGCACAATAGTTATACAACAATACAGTATATATGTTTTAATAGAGTTAATAAGAATTACCCAATAATAGTACACACATCTCAATACAGTATACTAAGGATTTGTCATAAACGATAGTGAAGGAAATTAACCAACATTGAGTCCACGATGGCACCATAATGTCTCAGATATGTGATGGAACACAATACCCCACTAAAGCATACACAATGCTCCAATTGTATCAATAAGCATACACAATGCTTAGTGATGTATAAAAGGATACACAATGCCCCAACATCATGGCTCATAACCATATCACACCATCAAATAACTTATCAAATAATTTTAGCTTTTTTTTTCTTTCACAAAACAATATATCTGCCTGCCAAGCACATGCTCGATCCAACTCATGGACTAGGCATACAAAATATATCTTTAAAATGGATTTTGAAAAGCAAGCATCAAAGTTAAAGTGTCACTTACATTGAAACGATCAACTTTCACTTCTCTTGAAATGCTAAAGTCCACCAAATAGCCTCAATCTATCCAAAATATTGAATAATATGTCCTAATTTGTCTAGGTGAATAATTTTTATAAATTTTGAACAAGTCAAACTCAAAGTCAACAATATGTACACAATTTAAGGTTAAACGCAGCACTCTTAGAGGGAAGTGCACGGTTAGCCACTAATAACACATGTATTTACTTTTAAGCTACTGTTTAAAATGTCCTTAGTCTTTAGCCACTGGTTTAATAAACTTTACCTGCCCGGACAAAAATACCCTTCTGCTCATGTCCTTAACTTTTGAACTTAACTTCAGGATTTCAGGACTACATGTCCTTAACTTTTGAACTTGGAACTCTAAGTTCAGGACTTCAAGACCTAACTTCAGGACTTCAAGACTACATGTCCTTAACTTTTGAACTTGTAACTCTAAGTTCAAGACTTCAGGACTACATGTCCTTAACTTTTGAACTTGGAACTCTAAGTTCAGGACTTCAGGACTATATGTCCTTAACTTTTGAACTTGGAACTCGAAGTTCAGGACTACGTCCTTAATTTCTGTGCTTGTAACTCTAAGTTAAGGACTACTTGTCCTTAACTTTTGAACTTGTAAGTCTAAGTTCAGGACCTATTGTCCTTAACTTTTGAGCTTGTTAGTCTAAGTTCAGGACCAAGTGTCCTTAACTTTTGAACTTGTAATTGTAAGTTCGGGACCAAGTGTCCTTAACTTTTGAGTTTGTTAGTCTAAGTTCAGGACCTGTTGTCCTTAACTTTTGAGCTTGTTGGTCTAAGTTCAGGACCTATTGTCCTTAACTTTTGGGCTTCTTAGCATAAGTTCAGGACCTATTGTCCTTAACTTTTAAACTTGTAACGGTAAGTTCAGGATCCATAACGTAGCAGAAAACCAAAAATACATCACAGAAATTACAAACCGAAATACATCTACCACCATAATTGCATACGATCACACATGCAAACCAAAGCAGCTAGACTGCAGTATAAAGCGTAGCACCAATTTATACAAGTATCCAATTTGTATGACCAGCAGCAATCAATTTACAATCTCCACAGTTTCGAAACCTTTGTCGATCGAAGCCTTGACATCATCCAAAACCAGAGTCGTCTTCCTATTAAGAGTTGGCCACTTCTAATTTCAGGTTTTGAGCCTTCATTTTTAATACTTGCAATCAGTCTAGAGAATTCACCATGAGAGCTTCCTGTGGAATGTCTGTCATGATCGTGTGCTCGCTAGGTTTCTCCTTAACACATGAAAGAGATAGAAGAAAGGGTAACACTGTCTTTTCATATTAATTTTAATAGACTAGTGGCTACTATTGCTAAACATTAAAAATGCTGGATAAAAAATAAATACCACTTTAAAAAGTGGCTACCCCACACAATTTTTACGCACTCTTAGCAGTGCAAAAATTACGCACTCTTAGCAGTGCAATAATTCCGAAACTTGCAAACTTAATTGCTGATTTCTTCGTTTATAAAATCAAGATCCAGCCAGAGACATAAAATTATCCGAAAAATTCTATTACTAGTACTATTTTTATAGTACAGGAACTAGATTTTAAATATCTATTCTTTTTTATTGCATCTTGTATTCTAGATTATCGTTCAACTTAAATTGATTTTCATCCCCCCTTAGCACCACGAAAATCCAGATGCAGCATATATTTAATGCATTAAAATCCACTTTTTACATTCATTATTTAAAGCCTGTTTGGCCAAGCTTATTGGAGGTTAAAAGTATATTTTTGGCTCAAAAAAGTACTTTTTGAATTTTTTTAGATGTTTGGCCAGGATAAAAAAGTGCGTTTGAGCTGCTTCTGCTTTTGGGGAGAAGCTACAAATTTTAGCTTCTTCCAAAAAGCAGAAGCAGAAAATTAATTTGTTACAATAAATTTATATTTTTTAAATTATCCCTTATTTATATAAGATTTTTTACCATACCTTTCTTCTCTTTTTTATTCTCTTTCTCTTATTCCTCTTAGGAATATTCTCTCTGTTATAAATATCTCTTCTTTTATATATAGTGATTTATAAGAGTAGATTTTTAATATATATATTGAATGATGTGTTTTGATATATTTAAATCATCCTATAAATAATTAGTAGTGCCAGGTACACAATATTATTGCTTTGGAATAATTATATTTTATATTAGTTAAAATCTTTAATTTATATTGTTACTTTATGTTTTATATTTTAGTTGAATTCCTTTATAATAAATATTTAAATTCATATCTTCTTCTAAATAATAGTAATTACAAACTGAATGTTTCATGTCTTTTTTAGTAATGTGATACTCAAAAGTACTTTTTGGAAAGATTGGTCAAACACAATTTGCTTATAAAAAGTACTACTCAAATAAATTGGCCAAACACAAACTGCTACTTTGAAAAGTACTTTTTCAAAAAATACTTTTAAATAATTTCAAAATAAGTAATTTTTGACAGCTTGGCCAAACGGGCTCTTAATCCAACATCCAATCACCATCAGCGTATAGTCCCTCTTTATTATTTAATTGTGATGATCTGATATGCCATCTTATGTTTTAGAATCAAATTCTGTGTTTCGAAGCCTTAAGAACCTCATTTTAGCCTTTCTCGATTCACGTGCGCAGTCCGGGTGTTGATCCGAAAGGCTTTTATGTTAAAAACTGATAAAAATAAGAATTTTGCCTTAAAATTCATTTGAGTTGACTTCGGTCAATGTTTTGAGCAAACGGACCCGGATCTATATTTTGACGGTCCCGGTGGGTCCATATCGTAATTTGGAACCTAGGTGCACGCTCGGAATTCGGAGGTCTCTAGCTCGAGTTATTAATTTTTGTTAAAAATTAGAAGTTTGAAAGTTTAATAATTTTTAAGAATTGACTAATGTTTGGTCTTGTTGATGTCGGGTTCGTATTTTGGTTTCGGAGCCCGATACAGGTCCATTATAATATTTATGACTTGTCTGTGAAATTTGGTGAGAAACGGAGTTAAATTGACGTGATTCGGATGTCCGGTTGTGAAAATAGAAGTTTTAAAGCTTTCTTGAAAATTTCATTCGATTTGGTGTTCAATTTGTAGTTCTAGGTGTTATTTTGGAGATTTGATCGCGCTAGCAAGTTCCTATGATGTTTTAGAACTTGTGTGCATTATTTGGGTTGGAGCCCTGAAGGCTCGGGTGAGTTTTGGATATGCTGCGGAGTATTTTGAACTTAGAAAATATAGCAGCTGCTCCTGCAACTGATCTGCTGAGCCTTCAAATATGAAACCACCCTGCTAGTGAAGTGATCATGGTTCCCTCTCCACTCTAGGCAACCCCAGCATGGTTATGGTCGCAATCTTGGCATGACAATCCAAGATAGCGCGATACAGGGACAACCAACTTCTTGCGCAACAAAGCTCAACACAACTTCTTGCGTATATAACAAGTGAAATAATATTGTCTTCATATATTGTCGTACCATCCTAAGCTATACAGGTCGTATAGCTTAGAAAAATTGGGCAGTAACTTCCCTGTTTTTACTATATCCCAAAGACCACTAAGGCCCATCAACAACCTGACAACAACAACAATATAATCCAATATGAGCTTCTCTGGTTATCTTAACAGTCATATTGAGCGGCAAGCTCGTTTTTACTAATAACAAAACATAAATTGAATCGAACTCTTATTCCATAAATTGGTTCACAACATCATGCTTATATGTACTATATGATTCCTAGTTTAAAACATCCACAAAATGACTTCCGAAACACCCCCATACGCCTAACACCCTAACTTTTTTCGTCAATCACTTGTGTTTCATGTTTTCTTCTTTAATAAACTAAGTTAACACCTAGAAAAGATTAACTACAGCAGCCCAACATTATCAAATTATTTCTGATAATTTCCAGCCACCACAAACCATATATGTGGCCAAAAAATAGTCCAACCAAAACGATAACCATGTCCCATGTTCTTTCAAGTGCTATCTTATGGTTTTTCATTCAAACAACTCAAACAACACAAGATTAAACTTAGGAACAATCAAGAAGATGTTATATTATATCTTGGACAGCAGCTACAACTCGAAAACCATCTCAACGTATCTCACAATAGCCCTCAATCAAACTACAACATCATAGAAGTATTCTCTTGTAGTCTTTAACACTTTTGATGATGATTTGAGTTGATTTTCCTTGAGTTTGGTTCTTGAGATCTTGGGGTATGTTAGAGAGGATTTTGGAGAGCTTTTGGACGAATTTTGGGTGAGAAATGACCCTAAATGAGGCTGAAACATCTTTTAAGAGAAGTAAGGTCAGTGGCCTTCTCAAGTGGGTACCAATAGGAGCTTCTTATGCAGTCTCACGAAAAAGCTAATATATCTCTACCCCGACGTTGTATCGGCAAACGATTTAATGCGTTGGAAACTAGACTCGTAGATATTCAATTTGGTGGGTAGATCACCCC